GCTTGGTGGTGTGGGTGTGTGTGTGTGTGTGTGTGTGTGTGTGTGTGTGTGTGTGTGTGTGTGACTGTGACTGTGGAACCCAGCCTGGCCTTAAATTCACAAATCTCCCTCCATATTCCCAGTGCTAGGATTATATGTGATGTGTACCAGGAACCCTCAAAACACACCCTAGGATAGTGGTTCTCAGTCTTCCTAATGCTGCGACCCTTTAATGCAGTTCCTCATGTTGTGACCCTCAACCATTATTTTTTTTTTTTTTGCTAACTGTAATTTTGCTACTTTTATGAATCTTAATGTAAATATCTGATATGCAGAACATCTGATATGTGCCCCTGTGAACTGCTGCTTTAGAGGTTTGGGAGGAGGTAGTGGAGTGAAGGGTTAAAAAGAACGCTGACAAGCCGGGTGGTGGTGGCGCACGCCTTTAATCCCAGCACTCAGGAGGCAGAGGCAGAGGGATCTCTGTGAGTTCGAGACTAGCCTGGTCTACAAGAGCTAGTTCCAGGACAGCCTCCAAAGCCACAGAGAAATCCCGTCTCGAAAAACCTAAAAAAAATAAAATAAAAATAAAAAATAAAAAACGCTGACAGACAGACCACAGCTGTCTTGGGGAAGTCAATCCCCTGGATAGTCATCAGAACCTCTGACAAGACAACAGCATGTTGCTCTGCGTAGAGGAAGGAAGCACAGGCTATACACTGCATTGCACCTGGGCCACAGTGTGTCTAAACCTTTCCCTGGCTACCAGTGTCCTGCTGCCAGGATCCAGGGATGCTAAGGCAGCACCAAGCCACACACACAGAAAAAAGCTGAACTAGGGGCCCAGATGTCCTCAAAACCAGAGGTGAGATGACTCAGTGCTTAGGAGCATCGAGTGGGCCATCATTCGGGCCAGGGGTCAGACCACAGCACCCCCATTCCAAGCTGGGCCTGACAAGAATATCACTCCAGCTCCATGGGACCTGATGCCCGCATTCTAGATCCTGCACATGCAAACTGCATACGCTCACACACAAATCTTACATCTCCATCTACTGAGCAAGAACAACTCAGCTCACTGCATCCTCACAACATGGAGAACGACCCTCACTCCCTGTGAACAGATGAACAAATGAATTACCAAGAGCTAAGTCCCAGCTGTGGGTCCTGGCCTGGCTCTGAGGAGCCTGTGTTTCCAATGTAGTGGGAACCCAGCTTCCCTGGCACCTCTAGACTCCTCTGGGGCCAGTGAGTGGGCCAAGTGGGGCTTGTTGCAAAAGCTCTAGCTTTCCCCACTCAGAATCACAACTGTTCTTCAACAGGTGCTGCTCCCAGGTGAATGCTCTGCCCACAAACCCCAGGAACCTCCCAGCAGGAGCCCACTTGAACTCAGAGGCCAGGAAAGCAAGCAACCAAGAGGGACAGGCAAGGGGTGGTAGTGATGGGCTCAAGGGAAGGCCAAAAAGAAGCAGTTGGGATAGAAACTGCTTGGCTTTGGGTTGGGAAAGATCTGGGCTTGACACCACCTCTCACTGGTTGAGGAAGTTGAGTTTTCCTCTACAAAACAAGGGCTCTACCTCAGGACACTGAGCTAAGAGGTTAAGACTTTAAAGGAGGCCAACAGTGGGCACTGTATAACTGTTGGTCACTCAGATGCCTGAGAGGGCTGCAGTAGACAAGGGAGGTCAGCTCAGGGCCCTCATCTGCCCGTCTGCCTGGGGATTGGGACAGCTTACCTCTTCCACGTTGACATTCTCCTTGGCACTGGTCTCAAAGAGCTGGATGCCCATCTGCCCAGCAAATTTGTAGGCATCTTCTGTCTCCACCACCTTCCGCTCAGGGTCGTCATTCTTATTGCCCACTTGAAGACAAAGCACAGTCAACTACTGCAAGAGCACCAACTGCTGCTCTTCCGCTCTCCCCACCCTTGGGGCCCATCCTCACCTAATATTCGGCACACATCATCACAGTTCTGGTTGATTTCATGAAGCCATCGCTTGACATTGACAAAGGACTCAGCACTAGTGACGTCGTAAACCACAATGACCCCGTGGGTCCCCCGATAATACCTGCAGGGCCAAGATGTACATCAGGGCTTTGGCCCAGGACAGAGAAACTCTTCCCTGGGGCCCGCTTGCCAGAACAGGACAGTGTCTGGGAAAGGTAAGGGTGCCCAGGGCCAGGACCAAGTCCTGCATCCAGCTTTGACCAGAGCCCAGCCTGACTAGCAGGACAGGGTGCTCCAGCAGCACTGGCTTCGCAGGCCTGTCCCTGGTAGCATTAGTGGGGGCTGGGCACAGTCTGAGGTAGACACCCTAGGTGACTGAGGGCACCACCAGCCACAAACTTCTTTCAAGTTTTGTTTCTAAAACTTTTGTTTCTAAAAACTTCTCCTTTTGTTTTTAGAATTCAGACAGTTTTTGTGTTTGACATGTTATCACCATGCTGGTTTAAACATTCACACTTTCTCTCAAATCTCTGTATTAAATGTCATTCCTAGATGCTGCACCTTATAAGAAGCCATGGCAAAGTGTGTCCCTTTCCCCTGGCAGGCAGGTGACACATCTTTCCCTGCTCTTGCCTCACTGTATCAGTGAGCGAGAAGGCAGAGGCTACACAGACCTCCAACAGCTGTAGGAAGGACTCAGCTAACCCTGCAGATTCCAAATCAGCCAGCAGGTCTGAAAGTAAGGAGAGTGCCATCATTCCTCTCTGAACTTTGGTACTCAGAAAGCCAGACAGCACCAACAGCACAGGGCCAGAGGAAACAACACCCTTGGCCTCACTCTAGACATTGCCCGGGCTGTTTCTCGGCGCCTTGTCTCTAAAGCTATTCTTGATCATGAAGGTCTTAAAACACCAAGACTCCAAAACCTGAGGGCAGGCTGCCTCCCATCTAGCTCTACTGGACACCATTTCCCCAGTCTGGGTTCCAAGACGGCTGCACCAGGAGCCACTGGTAAGGGGCACGTGCTGTCCAATCACCTTTCTGTAGTCGAGACCTACCCGAGGACAAAGGTCAAGCCTGGTCCCATCTCTGAAAGCCGTGATCCCTGGAAAGGTTATTTGGCTTTCATCCCTACCCTTACCTCAGTTCCCTTCACTATAAAATAGGGGTGCTAGTACAAACCTGTGAGGATGGCTATGAGGAAGAGGAGGTAACAGATGCCACCCCAAGGCTGTGAACAGTCCAAAGACAGCGCTGGGTGCTCTTATTACCGGGACTAGTGTTCCTTCACAGCAATCTGGAGTCCCAGATGAAGGGGGCAGAACCAAGAGTGAGTGGGCAGGACAAGGCAGCTCCAAGGGCAGAACACCAGGGCCCTGCTGTACTGCTGCCCCAGCATCTGTCCAGCCCTCCTAGGACACCATACTCGGTCTACTGACTCGTTCCAAGGCTGTGAGCCTTCCTGGCTTTGAGGGAGCCTGACAGTTCCACTATCTCAGCTCAGGACCCTGAACCAACCTGGCCTTGGTCCCCTAGCAAATGCTGCCCTGAGCACTAACTAGCCCAGCACACAGCATAGCTTGGTGGATGCCTCTGGGGGCAGGTATGGCAACCACGTAACTAGAAGCCCATCCTGCAGTGCAGTGCCTCTGTAACCTTTCCTTTGACATCATTGCCCTAGCTCCTGCCACTCTAGGAGAGCTTTGGCCAGGGGTGGCCCAGATCTCTGGGTAGCAGGAAGATACCAGAGCTGCCGGTCTTCTGACCCAAGTGTCTCACATCCACTGCCTTACCCTAGCCACCCCTGAGGGACAGAAAACTCAGGAAGGGTTAAGACTGAGGGATAGGAAAAGGGCTCTTTTAGCAGACATGGGATACAGACATTTCCACTCCTACACAGACTGCCATACCTCCAAAACATGCAACTATCTCAAGACCTTGCCTTCTTCACCAGCTCTTGTCACAGGGTGATGACACTCTCCATGGCCCCCTTCACAGACCTCAGAATGGGCCAGGGCTAACCTTGGTTTCCCCAGACATATAGGCAGACAGGACAGTACCTGTGCCTAGGGAGTCCTGAGCCGTGGCACTCGTACCCACTTCAAGGTAGAGTACAACACACACACACCAACCTAACTCTCAGCTGAGCAGCCCTGTGCTTCCTCTGCTACACTCACACCCTCAAGAAGATCCCGAGGGCCCAGAATGGCCACCTGTACTTCCATGACAGAACTGGAAGCATTCCACTAGAATCCAGAACCGTTAAGCAGGTTCTGTTTCCATTTTGCATGCATTACAACATGGAACCCACTTCTTAGAAGCACCTTTACCTGGGAGAGATGGTGCATGCCTTCAGTCCCAGCAGAAACAGGTACATACCTGTGAGTTTGAGGGCAGCCATGGCTACACAGTGAGTCCCTGTCTCAAAAACACACACACAGACATGCCTTTATTTGTGAAATGGGGTAACAGCAGCACAGCACAGCACAGCACAGCACAGCACAGCACAGCACAGCACAGCACAGCACAGCACAGCACAGCACAGCACAGCACAGCACAGCACAGCACAGCACAGCACAGCACAGCACAGCACAGCACAGCACAGCACAGCACAGCACAGCACAGCACAGCACAGCACAGCACAGCACAGCACAGCACAGCACAGCACAGCACAGCACAGCACAGCACAGCACAGCACACAGAAAGCCAGAAGTGACATATGAAAGGCCAGAGCAGGAGCCCTGGACTCAAGCCTTAGCACTCAGGCAAATCCTAACTAGAAATCTCAGGGACACAGGCACAGACATTAGGCAGCTTGCCCAAGGATGCACAGAACAGAAATTTAAGTCCACGCTGCTTCACAAATGCCTAAGAACAACGTCTCCACAGGGTCAACAATGGAGTGGTTTCCTCCTGTGGGCGGTTGATGTCCATAAAGGCACTGCAAAGGAAGGTGACACGCTCGACAACAGAGTTCCCAGCTAACGGACTGGGGATGTAGAAGAAGGGCGCACATACCTATGATCTTCCAGGCCTGAGAAAGAGCGAGCCATCTCTGAGGAGCCAGGGTGGATGGCCAGAGACTACATAGAACTGCAGACACCCACCAAGAACTGTCAGTGGCTCCCTGGGTACCAGGGAAGGACCTGTTACTACTTCCCAATGAGGCAAATACTGCTGCTATTGCCACTTGAGAAAGGGGCTGCTAGCAGGTAAAAATGAGTGCCCATGAGGCGGGCACACAGGTGATGTCATGCCAGACACCAGGGCCAGGTGCTCAGTGTGTCCTTAGCCCTGGTGGCTACCACAGCACACCACGGCCTTCTCCTGTATCTTCAGGCAGGGAAGGCACAGCTACCACCTCATCCTCACTTCCTCACATCCAGTGATATTTCTAACACATTATCTCTATTCAACAACGCCACTCAGCTTCACAAACACACCAAGGTGAGGACTCAAGGGACTCACGTAGAGGTGATGGTACGGAAGCGTTCTTGCCCTGCTGTGTCCCAGATCTGCAGCTTCACCTTCTCCCCATTGATCTCCACAGTCCGGATCTTGAAGTCCACTCCGATTGTGGTGATGTAGCTGCCTGTACGAATGCAGCCCATTACTTGAGACAGGGAGCCCTTTGGACCCCCCCACCCCCCCCCCC